CAGTCCACTGATGTTACCTGTCCCAAGGGAGCCTCCTGCGTGGATCTCAGCTGGGAGGTGAGCTGTTCTCCACAGGAAGTCTTGACGGCTGGCTCAGGACCAGGAGGGAGGAAGCAGAGAAGGGGAGATCACACTTCTTTTGTTCTCTCTTTAGGGTTTGGGCCCACGCACCCCTTCACGTGTTCCGTGTTCAAGTCTTCATACTCCGGCTGGAGACTGTCTGGTTCTGGCATGGGGTTGGGATTGTTCTGTGCAGGTTTGGCTGTGCGGGGTCACAGCAGCTGGATGCCACGGTGGACTGTGGGGTGGGAGGCCCGATAGGTTCAGAGGGAGGCCAGGGTGCTGTGGAAGCCTGAGGGGGAGAGCCCCTGCTGGGCCGCGGTATGTCGAGATTTCTCACTGGACGGTTTTTCTGCTTCCTGTGTGAGTATCTGTGTCGTCTTGGCATGGGTGTAGGGGCAACCCTGCACAAGGACATGAATTTTCCTGGGGGACCTGGCCAGGGCTGACCACTGCTTGAGCAGCTCAGGACAAGTTCTGTGCATTCACTGTGGTCTCTGGGAGGCAGCTAGGGATTGATGAGGATGGAGCGGTCTGCTGTCAGCTAAGAAGAAGACGGACTAGGTCTTACGGCAGGGTGATTCCGGCTGTGACCTCCAGCCCTGTCTTGGCCTGGAGGCTGCAGCTGGTCGGAGCTGACCCTTGCTATGGAGGTGTCCTCAGTGTTGGTCAGATGCAGGGCAGGGCTGGCTGTCCATCCTAAGGCCCCACTCTGCTAGTTGTGTGTGGTTTCCCACTAGTGCTTCTTGAGATGCTTATTCTATCTTAAATCCATCCATCTGTCCACTTGTCCATCCTCCCATGAATCCAGCCACCTGCAAACCCAACTACTCTTCTACCACCTGTCTAGCCTGCTAGACTTTTACTATCCGTCTACCATCCATCCATCCATCCATCCATTCATCCATCCATCTTTCCACCATCAACTCCTAACTACAACTCATCTATTTATCCATCTACCCAATAATTAACTTTCTCCATCCATTTATCCATCCACGTACCCACCCACTCACTCACTCACTCATCTATGAGTCCAGCCTCTCATCTATGAGTCCAGTCTAATTGTTCACTCACCCATTCATTCACCCAACCCATCTACTCAAGTAGCTATCTGCCTATTGATCTATCTATCCACCTGTACGTCTATCCATTCACGCATCCATTTATCCACCCACCCATTTATCCACCTCACCCAACTACCCTTCCCACTGTCTACTGAGGCACTTATCTGTCCATCTGTTGGCCCACCCACCATCTGTTGGTTCATCCGTCCACCCCATTCTAGTGGTAGAGCAGGGCTGAGAGAGTGGTCAAACCTTCTCACATGAGTGGAGCTGCATTAAGCCTGGAGAGATGCTAGGATCTGGGTGCATGGGAGGGCAAGGCAAGGGCTGAGCTGTGCATAGACCGGAGGTGGAGTAGGCATGGGGGCTGAGCAGAGAGAGAGGACTGGAAGGGGGCCAGCTAGCTTGTACAGCCTTCACCTCATCATAAAGATCCCCCCCCCCCCCGGCTCTGAGTCCTATATGGCCCTGGCAGGCTGTCTCTCTCTGCTGTTCTTCCCATCCTGGCAATCGGCTTGTCTTTGTTTGGCTGTGACAGAAATTAATTGGATTTGCAATTCCACTCTCTAGGGCCTTTGTGGCCCCACACAGTGATGCTGGAATTTGAGTAGTAAAGGTTTTATGGGCAGCAGTATAATTTTTCTCATCTTAACAGACTTGTGTTTTGTCTCTGCTGGGCAGGGCAGGTGAAGGAGACAACAAGAGGCGCAGAACTGGGATACTGGAAGAGGCAGAAATTTAGGAAAACCATTCATGCATGCTCATTTCAAGAAATTGAGACCACAAATCTTGAGATTACTATTGTGTTATTTTGGTGGGCACCAACTCTGTGTGTGTGTGTGTGCACGCGTGCGCACACGCATGCATGCACACTGATACTGGGACTTGAACTAGAGACCTAATTGCTATCTATCCTGTAGCTTTTTTTTGCTCAAGGCTGGCCATAACTCTACTTCTGGCTTATTTTTGGTGGTTAATTGGAGATAAGGGTCTTATGAACTTTCCTACCTGGGCTGGCTTTGAACTGAGATCCTCAGATCTCAGCCTTCTGAGTAGTTAGGATTACAGGTGTGAGACACCTGTATCTGTCTATAGCAGTCAATGCCCAGCGACACCACCTTTCTGTTAGGAAACCAAATGCAGAAATGCTCTTGGTGAGCAGGGCTCAGAGGCTGTAATGATGTCTCCAGAGCTAATTTTCCTGGATGACAGGAAGTAGCCCAGATGAGACTGATACTTGAGGTTGGAGCAGATTTAGCTTCTGTGTACTAGTTGGAAAATATATGTTAATTTGAAAATGAAAAAAAAAATTCTCAAGCCAGGTGCTGGTGACTCATGCTTGAAATCCTACTTCTCAGGAGGCTGAGATCTGAGGATCACAGTTCCAAGCCAGCCCGGGCAGGAAAGTTCATAGACTCTTTATCTCCAACTAACCATCAGAAAACGGGAAGTGGCGCTGTGGCTCAAGTGGTAGAGTGTTCGACTTGAGCTGAAGAGCTGAGGGACAGTACTCAGGCCCAGAGTTCAAGCCCCATGACTGACAAAAAAATACAAAGAATAAAAAATAAAGTGAAAGTTTGGAGAGAGTGGACATGGCTGATGTGACATTTGGAGAGAGACAGGACCGCGGGGAGTCTGTTCTGAGAGTGGGGTTTCAGCCTGAAAGGGAGAAAGCACTCTGCCTCTGGCGTCCAAGTCAGCCTGGATGAGTCTTTGCAGCCTCTTCTCTGGTCACTTGTGTGGGGACCAGTTCTTTGGCTGGCTGGTAGGTAAGTTACCACACTGGCTGCTCAGCCCTGTGCAGGGCTCTGCGTCGGGATTTGTGCTCTGTCGTATGGTAGGGGAGAATGAATTCCTTTAGGGAATTCCTTTAGGGTCTCCTGCCAGCCAGGGCATCATGGTGGCCTGTGACCCGAGGATACATGCCTCCACCGTCACGGTGATGGGTGTGAGGCTAGAGTGGCATCGAGGAGAGGGATGGAGCCCACCGGGAGAGTTCCATCTGGAGCACACTGTCTCATCTGTGGGCTACTGACGTTGGAGCGATGGGGTCGGGGGCACACAGACCAGAGGCCTCAGACTTGAGGTCCCATGCAGGTCTGTGACACAGCACGGTTGGCCTGGGACTGCAGCCCAGCTCCGTGCACTCTCCCAGCCCCTCAGCCCCAGGGTGCGGCTCCCCACCTCGCTGGTGGAGGGCAGTCCCTGTCCTGCTTGAATGTCTGTGTCCTGTGACTGTCAGCCTGACCCCTGGCGAGGAGACACTTCCCACTGGCACAGAGCAAGGCTGCTGTCTTAGAACTGGCCTGTGGGGCTGCAGGGAGGTTTTTGTTTCTTGTTTTTTGTTGGTTGTAGGGCTTGAAATCTGGGCCTGGGCGCTGTCTCTGAGCTCTTCAGCTCAAGGTGAGCACTCAGCCATTTGAGCCACAGCACCACTTCTGGTTTTCTGGTGGTTAATTTGGAGATAAGAGTCTCATGGCTGTTCCTGTCCGGGCTGGCTTTGAACCGCGATCCTTAGATCTTAGCCTCCTGAGAAGCTAGGATTATAGGCGTGAGCCACTGGGGCCTAGCAAGGTTGGATTTTTTTAAACAGGCAAGTGTCTCTCTGAGAGATGCGTGGGCTTGGCCTGGCCTCCCCCAGGCTTCCTGCCTGGCCTCCCTCTTGGTCTAATGGTCCCTTGGGAGCCTGTGCCCAGCTCCCACAGGGTGCTCTGCCCACGGGAGCCTCGTCTGCTGTAGATGGTGGCGAGAAGGTGAAAATTCGGGACAATAGGAAATGAGTCATTGCTTCTTTCCATCCTGCCTAGAACCTTCGCTGGTTATGAGTTCAGTTGACACAAGAGAAAAAGATTTTAATTTTACACATGCATGCAGGAGTCCCTTGACAGTATGAGACTTAAGATGGGGGCAGGTGGTTCATTGGAGATATGAACCTCATGGACTTTCCTGCCTGAACTAGCTTCAAACTTCCATCCTCAGATCTTAGCCTCCTGAGTAGCTAGGATGACAGGCATGAGCCACTGCCTCCCAACTCTGTCCTCTAGGTTTTGACAGCTTGGAGGCAGTTCATTTGGTGGGGTCCTCCAGTGAGGAGATGGTGGCCAAGACAGCCACAGAGGCGTCAGCTGCCCTGGGGTGCTGGCTGGAGGGGGTGCAGTGTTGGGTCAGGCCACTTAGGGACACAAGCGGTCCAGGACGGAGGGGTCAGTGCAGTGGTGCAGTTGTGGCGTGCCCCTGTGGCTGTGGTGACAGGAAGGACCTCTCCCTTGACATGTTTCTTGGTGACCAGAGCTTTCCAGTCATGGCCTTTAGACCAGGTCTGCACACCGCGCCTGCTTGGAGCCAGGAGGAGACAGCAGAGCCTCACACTAGGGCAGCTGAGACTGGTCTCAGCCTGTCAGGGCTTGTCCTGACTATGGGCTGGACCCTGAGGACTGTGCTGTCAGCAGGCAGGCAGCCTCCCTGAGTTCCCACCACCCATGTCCTCCTGGGGGAGGGCAGCTGGTGCTGGCCACCTGTCCCCCCACCCCGCATTGAACAGTGGGGTGTCCAGGGTACCCTACATCCAATTTCCACAATGTGACTGCTGTGCAGGTGACAGCAACATGGTGACAAAAGACAAAAGCCGGTGCTCCCTCCTCCTGCCCAGGACCCTCATTTGCTGGTGGGATGTGGGGGGTCTGGGGCCCCTGGAGGGGCTGATTCCCATCTGTGGCTCAGGGCTTCCCCCTCAGCCCCTCCCTGGTGTTCAGTGTCTACTGCCTGCAAGCCTGTGACGCTCTCCAGGGCCACACAGGCCCCTGGGATCGATTGGGCAGGCCCCAGGCCGGCCAGCCGTGGATCTGCAACTGTCCTCACACCTCCTTCTCTCCACAGGCCTTTTCCCTCAGAGGAGACCGCGGAGAGCGACGATGACGTCTACCGCAGCCTGGAGGAGCTGGCCGAGTAAGGAGGGAGACGGAGGGCACAGGGCAGGGGTGACGAGAGGTCCCCGGGACCCAGCATTCAAGGGGAGCCCGGCACCACCCTCCAGGCAGAGCTGCCCTTGGCTGTGGCTGCTTCTCAGTGTCAAGCATGGGCAGCCCTAGAAGGCCACCTAGAAGGCCTTCTAGAAGGCCACCAGCTTGACTGGTGGTAGAGACGGTGGCCACAGGTCCTGTGGGCTTCCTGCACGGGGCTGGGGGGAGGGGAAGGTTCTTACTTCTGTGGAGTGGCAGCAGTCGGGGAGATGTGTCCCCATCTCTTGCTGACCCCTCGTTACCTACATATCTGTCTCTCTCTAAGGATTTCTTAGCTACACCTGCGCACAGCCATTTCCAAGCTGTGCTCTTTCTCTAAAGGGACCTAAAGTCCCTGGCGTAGCTCTGCAGGCCTGTTGTTGGCAGGGAAGGGCCTGAGGCCGGGCTGAGCTAGGATGCTGGGATGGAAGACATGAGAAACTCCATCCTGTTGAGGAGGGATCCAACGTACCCAGCCCTGGGCTTGTCCCCTGTGTCCCCCGGGCAACCCCCCCCAGATGCTCATTGGAGCCCCTCTGGGCTTCCTGACCACCTGCCTGCCTCGTTCTTGTCTGAGACAGTGTTTCTTTGTTCCTAGATAAACTGTGCATTCCTTCTGGGCAGCCTCCTACCAGTTCTCTCTCCCCCTTCCTCTCAGCTCAGGCTGGGCAGGGGAAAGTAATGCTTGGTTATGCAGCTCCCTCCCTGGCTGTGGCTGTGCCTCTGTGCTGGGGATGGGGCCCGCCTCACCCCCGAAGCTGCCCCTAGGGCACAGTGAGTTTGCTCCTGCAGGATCTCTCACTATATGAGTGCAAAGGCAGCCCAGATTCAGCACAGGCAGCTACCTGGCTGCCCAGTCTTGTGCAGTTCTGTGAAATAATTTTCCAGAGCGAGCCTAGCCTAGCCACCACCTAGCAGGCGGTCACAGGGTCTACGGTCAATCCACAGGTAGGACATCTGGTCCACCCCTCGTGGGTTACAGAGCACCCCAAAGGGGGAGGAGCAAGGAATGGCATGCCAGGGCCTGGGGCCTTCCTCTGTCCAGACCCCACTGCACCCCGGCCAGTCTCAGGAGTTGGAGAGAGACGTAGAAAACTTCACAAAGCGCGTATTCCGACACCTAGGGCCTCCGTAGGGGCAGGCGGACCCAGTGGGGAATGGAGTCCCAGGGCCAGCGGAAGGAAGGGCTCCCGGAAGAACGGGCCCCAGGAGGGAGTCCAGGGGCCTGGGGCCTGTCCTCTGCTCCCCGTAGAGGCAGTGCTTACTGAGCACAGGGCCGGGATTCTGCTCCCCTCCGCCTCCCTCATTCCTGGCATTCTTCACCTCAGAAATGTTTCTCATCTTCCACATCCTGGTCTTCAGGGCCCCTGCTCTGGGAGGCCTCCTGTACCCCACCTGGCTGGCATCGCCACCCACAGCGCCCCCACCCTCAGCGGGCCTCTGGTCATCTAGGGAACATAGCAGGATTAGGCGGTTAAATGTCTCTTACAAACCAGTAGTTTCCAAAGCCAGCCATGGCAACCCAGGAAGGACGACAGCGTTGGGGGCCAGCGCGCCTGCTCCCCACCGCACAGCTCCAGGTGACGCCTGCCCACCTGCTTTCTCCACTTGACAGAGAAGGAAAAGCTCTGAGGAAGAGACGTCACTGACCCGTTAGCCACAGAGTGCCCCCAAGTCGTGCCCCGAGAGATCTGGGAGACAGACCAGTGCTGAGGGTGGATCCTGTGGTACCATCTCTCCTAGACCTCCACTCTCAGGCTGGGGGTGTGTGCCTTCCACAACCAGGGCTGCAGGTTGCTGTCCTTCTCTGCTGGCTACGAGGGATGCTTCTGGAAGGCACAGATCCCCAGCCTTACTGGCCTCTGGCAGGAAATCTCCTGAGTGTGAACTGGGCACACTCGCATCCCAGTAGGGGGCAGATGCAGGCCAAGCAGGCCCCTACCCAGTGGCTTGTAGGACATGTTCAGCTTGAGGATTTGTAGCAAAGCCTTTTGTTGTTGTTGTTGTTGGTTGTGGGGCTTGAACTCAGGGCCTGGGCGCTGCCCCCAAGCCTCTTTGTGCTGCAAGCTACCACTCTACCACTTGAGCCACAGCGCCTTCTCTGGGGTTTTGAGTGGTTCCTTGGAGATGAGTCGTCTCGGGGACTTTCCTGCCTGGGCTGGCTTTGAACCGCGATCCTCAGAGCTCAGCCTCTGGAGTAGCTAGGATTATAGGCGTGAGCCACTGGGGCCTGGCTAGTTTTGAGAATTTTTCATATGGTGAATCAGGCCTTGAGCCTGGGAGCTCCCCCCCCCCCCCCCCCCCCCCGCGTGCCTTTTATTTGCTCTAAAACAACATGGCATTGGTCTCCTGGCAAAATGAGTTGGGGATATGTGGCCTTGCCCAGCCCAGTGGTCTTCTGTGACATTACGAATGAGCCTTCTTAATCTTTAGGATTGCAGTTACTGCAAAAAGCAGACCATAAATTACAGGGAGGGGAATGAATTTGAATCTTTAACTTGCGGTTTTGGTCCCAGTGGCTCTAGTTTAATAAATTTTTCATGTTCTCCTTTCACTGAAAATCAAGATTTCCTAGCATCCTGTCTCTGTGGACCTGGTATTGATATTTAGCTGTTGTACAAGCAGATCTGCCATTTCTTACCTACACTGTGCTGGAGAGGGGAGGGGCGGGCAGGGCGGCCGGAGAGAAAGGCACAGACATCTGGGAGGGCAGACCAGACCAGTCCACAGGACTCTCCTGGCCACCCCAGCCTCAGATCCGCATGTGGGCACTGAGTCTCAGAGGTGGCCTATCTCTTCCCCCAGGGCGCTTGGTGGGTGTGGGTTTGGACCAGTGAAGGACTGTGATGACTAGTGTTCGTTCATTCATCAGTCACCTGGTTTCTAAGCAATGTTTGTGCAGAGGGCCAGGGGGCTGGAGTGTGGAAATGGAGGTGAGCCAGCCCGTGGCCTGGGACCTTACACTGTATGGGGCAGGTGGGAGCACACAGTGTGGCGGGGCTGACGAGGGGTGAGCACAGGCTGCCTCTGCCCCCTGGCCCAGCGCTGGGTGTCTGTTGAGGGCGGAACCCCATATCCACTGTAGGCTCTTCCTACAGGGGCACTCTGGAGCCTTCACTATACCTAGGTTCCCTTTTCTGTACCTGCCCCGTGGAACCACTAGGAAGGCGGATGCTGCCCTTGGGTTCAGGGTGAGCTGGGGCTGCCATAGGCTGTCAGGAAGAACTTAGGTGTTCAGCCAAGTCATGTATGTGATTAGCCAGGTCAGAAAGTAGAAAGGAAAAAGTGGATGATGATGGTGATGATGATGATGATTTGGGGTACTGGAGTTTGAGTGTGGGGCCTCACAAATGAGTCTGGTTTGAGCTGATCCTGGCCATGTGGAAGGCATAGGAAAAGGAGGATAGAGGTCTGAGGCTGGGCCAGGGTGAACGTGCGATGGTAAAAATGAACTGTCATGAATAGCTAAAGCAGTGGCTCACGCCTGCAGCCCTGGCTACTCAGGAGGCTGAGATCTGGGGATCATGGTTCAAAGTCAGCCTAGGAAGGAAACTGTGAGACTCTTTATTTCCAATGAACCACCAAAAATCTGGAAGTGGAGCTGTGGCTTAAGTGGTAGAGTGCCAGTCTAGTAAACATGAGGTTCCGAGTTCTAAACCTGAGTCCTACAAAAACAGCAACAACAAAAGAATAATATGTTTCATTGAGCCTAATGGATCTGTGGCAGACATAGTAGACCGGCCGTCTTTTCTGACACACACATTCTCTTGACTCGGGGCGTGGTTTTCCCTCAGCCTGGTTCCAGTCATCCCTACAGGGTGCCCTGGCAGCCCTGGCCTGGGCTAGCGTGTGGCTCAGAGGGGCCTGGGATCCAAGCCACCCTCCCAGGAGCAGAAACACCCCCCCTTCTTTGTGAACAGCTGCATTGGACTAGGGTTAGTTTTCCAAGTTTTCTAAGCCGGCCCTTGAGATCACGGAATAATGTGTAATCAAAATAATAAGAGCAGCTGCTTGAAGAACACCAACACAAAAATATAGCCACTTAAAAGTGCTTTATTAAGCAAAAGAAGCCCAAAAGGAGAGAGGCCTGTTTATAAATTGCTCTAACCATCACTACCTTGAATTTGCATAACGGCTGCTCTGGGGGCAGGGAGACTTAGGCACCGCAGGAGCCCGAGGGAGTGCTCTCACTGCAGGACCTCACGGGTGCTGATGAGGGCAGAGTGCCGAAGGAGAAGGAGGGCCTCTGTCCACGCAGGAGGAGCAGGGACCCCCCACCTCCCCAGGCTGCATGCGGGGCTGCGTGCGGGGCGGCCTGTCGTGGCCTGGTCCATGGCAGCATCCTAGAGCTTGGAAGGGGAGGCCCCGGAGCCCTAGGCCGCTCTGCTACATCGCCACAGGCAGGGATCTCAGATGGGGCGTGGCCGCTGTGTGGGCAGAAGGCCAGTGCCATGTACAGCCTGGACAAGCGTCTGCCTGGGCTCAGGCTGGCGTGGCCCGCGTGGGCCTTGCCTCGTGTCCCTTCAGCTCCTTTGAGGGCCCCAGCTTCTGTCCGCAGTGGTGCTGTCCTCCTGGCTGTCGCTGTGAGCGTCCGGTCTGTGTGGTGGCCCTGCTCAGCTTGGCTGTGACGTCATTGTCCTTCCGTGTGATTGTGCCACAGCAGGGACCGTCATTTGTCTGCCTGCGTAGGAACGTGCTTCATATGTCATGAAACACCTCCGCAGCTTTCAACACCCCGCGTTGGCGTCGTTGGGGGTCATTTTGAAGGTGAATGGGTGGACAGGCGCTCCTGGCAGGGCGGAGCGCTCCTGTGCATTTGGGGTGTGTAGACGGCTGGCAGTAGCCTGGGAATGGCCCGGACCCCGGGCTTCGGCCTCTCTGTGCAGCGCCCCTTAACAGCTGAGCACCAGGGAACAGAGAGTAACTCCCTGCACCCTGCCTGGAGCC